ATATTACGTAAACAAAAACTTAATCGCGATTAATCATTTGACAGCACTATATATGATATATATATATATATATATATATGATATATTAATATATCATTATATGATATATTAATCTCTTTTATTATTATTAATATTATCCTAGGCAGAATGTTACTCAGCAGCAATAAAATTTTTTATTAGCAGAACTTCAATCATCCCAGTTTTTCAGACTCTCACTGACAATCTTATTATATGATTCATACAATTCAAGCTCTAACAAAGATCAGGGGCTTTATACAACACACTCATTCACTGAGGTTTCAAGGGTCATTAAAAACCCCTTGATGTTTTCTGACAAGCATCCGCAGTTATACATATTTCAAACCACAAATTGGGGCAAGACTGAGAAGAACGGCATGAGTGTGTGTGAGTTTAACTTCACCACTCGTGCTCTGCCTTTACTGAAAGTTATCAAACGAGGGGAGGAGGAGATAACGTGTGTGTTTGGAGCTGGGAAACATTCATTTCAAATTAAGAAATAAAACAGTAGAGGACATGAAATATTGTGAATGCAGTCATTAATGGACCGGTTTGAAGAGAATCTTCCAAGCAAGTCAGTTACAGTTAGAAACTGCTGACATACCTAACTACTTAAAGAAATAGTCCACCCAAAAATGAAAAATCTGCTGAATATTTACTCACTCTTAGGCCATGTGAGATGTAGATGAGTTTGTTTCTTCATCAGATTTGGAGAAATGTAGCATTGCATCACTTGCTCACCAATGGATCCTCTGCAGTGAATGGGTGCCGTCAGAATGAGAGTCCAAACAGCTGAAAAAAACACCACAATAATCCACAAGTAATCCACACCACTCCAGTCCATCAGTGAACATCTTAAGAAGACAAAAACTGTGTGTTTATAAAACAAATCCATCATTAAGACGCTTTTTAACTTCAAGTCGTTAACTGCTTCCGGCTAAAATAAGAGTCCTCTATCTGTAATGTTGCTTCCTCCAGTAAAAAAGTCGTTTCATCTGAATCAGGAGAGAAATATGCACACATCAAACACTGTAAAAAACAGTTCTAAACAAACATCCCAATGGATTTTGATGTGAGAGACAACAGTGGATGGTCTTTTTCACTGGAGGAAGCGTTAATATGGACTCATATTTTAGCTGGAAGAGATGGTTTGAAGTTAAAAACACCTTAATGATGGATTTGTTTTCTTACAAACATGTAGCTTTTAGCGTCACAAGACATTAACTGATGGACTGGAGTGGTGTGGATTACTTGTGGATTATTATGATGTTTTTATCAGCTGTTTGGAATCTCATTCCGACGGCACCCATTCACTGCAGAGTGCACTGGTGAGACAGTGATGTAATGCTACATTTCTCTAAATCTGATAAAGAAACAAATTTTAATTTTTAGGTGAACTATTCCTTTAAATAAAAAAATGATGCGTGAAATCAAGCTCGGCATAGTTAGCATTTGCATTAACATGCTTTTGCATTAACATTGCATTAAATACGTTTTGTACTATTGTTACAAATTAGTCATCTGCTCATTATGAAACTGCCTGGGCTCAAAAAGTGCCGTTTTGATCTTCTAATGCAGAGTACACATCCCAAATGGGACTGATCTTTACAGGTGGCCTTTAGTAGAAGAACAATGCATCAATGCTCAGACTGGCGCATGAATACTGCATGAGCTGCCTTAATGCATTGTTCATCAGATAAAGGGCACAACCACAGCAAAGACACCAAATATCTTTACTCCGAGCTCTCCTACAGACAGCTGACGCGATGTTTGTAAGGTCTCGCGACCCGGTAGGTTAATGCTACCATGACAAGGACCTTCAAAGGACATAAAGAGATTTCGTAAATATACCGCAAAACCAGGTGGAAACTTGATTTTTTTTATTTGCAAACAACATGTGAGCTCTTAAAAGAACAGTTGACTATTGAAGACCAGGCCTGTGGTTTTAATGTCAAAGGAAATAAACGTTACAAGCGGTACAAGCAAGGTTATTGGTTTTCTTTGCTCAATAACTTGTTTTATGTTTAAGTCAACAAAGCAGAATTCACAACTTATTTTACTTCAGTAATCTGTGAACATGTGAACAATATAGGAGGAGACTTAGGAGACTTGATTTTATGCATTAGGATTAATTGGGACCTAAACATTACATTACATGTCTAAATAGAGCCATATACTGTATATATATATATATATTTATTTTTTTATTTTTTTTGGGCGGGGCCTTTTTTGGCCAGCTATTTATTTATTTATTTGCTTGCTTTTTGTTGTGCACTTAATGAATAGTATTTTTTTTATATATTTTAATTTTAGATATTTTTACTTGTTCTCATATGAAGAATGCAGTGCTTATTGTAATGCATTTTATTTTACAACCCTTTGAGATGCATTTTTTGTATGAAAGGTGGCATACAAATAACATTATTATTATTATTATTATTGGGTTAAATACTATGCAACAAAGTTGTTAAATAAAAAATATATAATACCATTTTGTTTTTCTTTAGAAATATTGTGCACAACAAATTGTTCACAATATGACAAGGAATGTGCATTAGGAAAGTAAAGAGGGTTAATTCTGATTTGTTGACTTTAATGTCGAGTTAAGTAAACATTACAGACAGACGGGCCTTGCTGCGGCTTTTCTCTTAACGACAACTTGTTTTACAACTCTTAATATAAATAACTCGAGTCCACCACTTTCACATACGCATCCACGTCCTGCAACATTCAATTAGCCGCAGTGACGAACAGCCTCATGCGAGACGCATTGTTCTCGCAGCTGTTTCGCCTGACATCTTTGTCCATCGTGGCACAATCAGGAATGCATTTCATCCTATTTGGTGCGGCTCCTCCCTCTCGTATGAATCTGCTCAGCTGCTAAAAGGCTTCCCCAGACCCCATTCTCATCCCTCGACCCATAATTGCAGCATTACTCATTTTCAATAATGCTAAGTAATCCACTTAGCCATGACAGCATATTATTTAATTCAGCTATGAAGCATGGCACAGCACGGCTCGCAGGACTATAGGTTTCTGAGGTGGTCCTGAGTTCTGTTGGTGGGGGCGACGCCGTAATATGAAATAGCTATGCTTATGTACATCCAATTGTTGAGAATCCCTAATGGTAACAATATGTAAAATAAATACATAAATACAATAAAATTTACTAAATATTTAGGGTTAACTACTGTAAAAAGTGTACATGACCTAATTAATATTGATGAGCGTATCTGGTGTTCCCCCAATTTTCATATTCCCTACATCCTGGTAAAGACAACATTTAAATTTAAGCAAAGAATTAATAGAATAAAAACGTTAAAATTACAATTTGATTTCACAAATACTAACCTGTTTGGAAATGATACCTGAAAACCTAAAATAAGCAAATAAAATCACAAACAAACAAACATTTTAAAATGAATATTTCTGATGTAAATATTTTCACCTTTTGATTTTGAATAATTTCCTAACATATATTCATTAAAGAGGGGAAGTTAAAATGTTAATGGCTCAAAGTAGACAGGCCAAACATTCACAATTCATCTCTAATAAATTGCATATAAAAACATATAAATTAAAACAAAAAATGATAAAAACTGAAAAAGAAAACAAATTACTAGAATAAAAAAATATTTAAATACAAAAAGTTAAATATATTTTAAATATTTTATAGTTTAAAGTATTTTAATATAAATATACATTATTGAATATTGTAAATAATGTCTTTTCAGAAAAAGTTGGATAGTCTTGGACTTTCAATTAACCTTGAATTAAATGGATTAAGCAAAGCGTACATAGAAAGAAATTTTAAAAAAGAAGTTTCTGAATTAAACATAACATTCACAAATACCTTAAATACATATTTTAACATAGTTTTTTAAGAGGCCAAATAAACTTTTAAATTATCCTTTACAACTACAAAAGTTGTAACTGTGCTTATCTGAAATCACCACAGCCTCGACTCATCGACCGGTTCCGGCAGAGCCAAGCTTATATGGCAAACACGAGTGAGCTTGACGATGCTCTGATTAACGAGGCGTCACTGAAGGTGCTTCTGTAATTGCCTGACCTGAAACCAGAGCTCTAGTGTGAAGAAAGAAGCTGCTTTGTACGGCTCGCCTGCTACGTTTGTTTGAGTTGGACCAACACTTGTTCGCTGGCAGCGCTTCTGTTTGCTTCTCTCACAAGGGTTCGACTGCAGAAGAGAAGCTTTTGGCACGGAGCTTCCTTCACAACCTCTGCAAACACGGCTGCGAATACGCCATCCTAACCGAAGTGCAAAAAAGAACGGGATAACAGAAAGGTGGCATGGGTTTTATTTGGACTGCAGTGAAAAACTCACATGCGTCTGATGATGAAATGCTGGTACCTTTCACCCCTATTAAGTGCGGCGGATGGCTTACATGTCGGCGCTTTTATAGGGGCCGGTGTTACGTCTGGGACAGACGCTTTCATAAGCCGTGTTACATCAGTGTCTGATTTATACGAGGCATGCATTGCAATAAGTGAAGCTGTGGGCAAAGCAAATGATTCAAGCCCTGGTTGGATCACATGTCAGTGTTAAAGAGTTCAGGTAACCAAAACCTGATACTCAGTACCTGATACCAAAATACTGAAGGATACAAAAAAAAATGTAATATAACAAACAGCAGAAATAGAAAAACTAAAAGAAGGGGGGGATTAATGTTATTCAAAAAAAATACAAATTCTAAAACTAATACAAATTCATTATACATCGGAAACTAAAATGGCAAAGCAAATTATTCAATCGCAGGTAGGATGACATGTTAGTGTTATAATACTCAAATTAATCGCAAAACAGAAAACAATATATATTTATGTAAAAAAAAATATTTTATATTTAAATTATTTTACTATATTTCAATCTATATTTTGAAATATTAAAATATTGGAACTAAACATTTGTCCACCAGGGGGAGTTGCATGTGCTTGCACATCTAATGAATATTGATGTTTAGTTGTGTTTTCTCAGACAAGAATCTGAGCAAACCAAAGTATTTAACAGTGCATAACTCATAACTTTACGCTTCAGAAATGAATGATTCCTCAAATAGTTACTTTACTGATCAGATGCACCATTTTCACCCTCCGGATCATAAAACATGTGAAATAAAAAATCCCGCAGACTTCTCTACAGATCAGAAAATCACTTGCTTTGTTATCTTGCGCATTACCACATCCTCAAAATGAGCCGATGTTATGCATATTTGAGGTGTAATGCCATATGCAATATTTACAAACAAGTGGGTTTTGTTCCAACCGTGTTTACAAGAATTATTAAATATTGTCTACACGACTCTGCCGACTCTTTGTACTTTAAAGGCCAGTATTTCAAGACATAATGACGTAAAAGTTATAATATGGAAACATAAACGTTTAAAAGAATAATTGCACAAAAGTAAAAATTCTGTCATCATTTACTCTCCTTGAAGCTTTTAGATTTCCTTCGAGTACATTTCTCACACAAAGACTTGAAATAAAGCGTGCAGGATGTTTCATGAGGGTTTTGAATGGCATGAGATGCAGTAAATGATGAGTTTTCATTTTTGGGTGGAAATGCTCCTTTCCATCAAAGACAGAATCCAAACAGGATCTCTAAGATTCATCACAGACACCAAAAAGCCATTCTGAGTGAGAAAGAAGCTCCTCTAAGTCAAGTCCGCCCACACACGAACGCATCAAATCATTGTCGGTATTGATTTTCTCCCATCATAACAGATCAGCGGTGTTGCACCAATTAGCGGCCAGTGAGTACCGTGTTATGAGGTCACAACTCACTGCTGCTCTCGCCCACCAGTAAAACCGGGCACCGAGCCATCAACAACGCACCCACACACACCTAACCAGCATTTGATCACTCAGAGGTTGCTCTTTCTGTGCTCAGGAGACTCAAGTGTTTCCATTTAGAGTCCCTTTCATTTAAAGGGACAGTTAAGTCAAAATGAAATTTGATGTAAATTTACTTAGAACATCCGAGATATAGATGATTTTAGTTTTTTCAGTGGGACAGTATTTTTAGCTGAAACCGTGGTCCTTGGTGATTCATAAAATGCAAGTCAATGGCTAAGAGTGGCACTTTGAGTCTAAAAAAACATATCAGGCAACACAGAATTAATCCCCGTGGCTCCTGATGATATACTGAGGTCTTATGAAGCGAAATGATCGGTCTGTGCAAGAAACTGAACATTATCGACAACTTTATTACCTGTGTTTCAGAGCCTCGGTCCAGAGTGATGTCCGGTTCACGAACGAATCATTCATTTGAACTGGTTCTTTTTGGTGAACTAGTTGAATCAGTTTACCGAATCGCATTGAACCATCTGAAAACTGTTCACGGCTCGAGCAGCACAGATCTACAAGTTGCTCAATCAAAACTTACTTTCAGACTCACTTTCAATTGCGATGTTTGACATTTTGGGAAAAATTTACTTTAAATATAAACCCAAAATCACCAGTAGGTGGCGGAAAATCGCTGCATGAGTGGATCATTGAGTCATTCATTCAACCGATTTCGTTCAAACGGCTGATTGATTCAGTAAACTCCGTCATGTGTTGCTCAGAGACGCTAAACTGTTCTGCTGTGGCTTTGTTTGAAACTATTTCCGCTGAAGAAACAGAGCAAAAATGTAAGTCAAATAATATTAACTACTTGTTTGTTGGACGGTTTTATAAAATCAATATCACATTTACAATCGTGCTGATATTTGGAGAAAAAAAACTGTAGGCTACCCTTTGTGTGATATTAACTAGGCCACATCAGATTATATAAATATAAAAGATAATAATAGATATAAAAATCATACGGGGCACAAGTCAAATGCAGGTGTATCTGATCTTGAGATGAATGAAGTCATTCAGCGCCTCCAACAGTCACTGAACTGGAAAGTTGTAATGTTTTTATGGCTTCTCATAGTTTATGTAAAAAGGTGAGCTGATAAAGACTAGTTTATTCACTTTATATGCTTTAGACATGTAAAACATCTGTGTTTCACATCATTATTGGGTGCTTTAATAATATACTGGTGAATACAGTATGTTACATCATTGCATGATTATGTAAACAAACTAGTAAATTGAACCAGTTCACAGAAATGAACTGTTCAAAAGAACCAGTTCACGGAAAAGTATTTCATCGTATTTCCCCATTTGACTGAGGCTTATAAAGTAGTAAATAATGTTCAGTTGCTTGCACAGATCGAATGTTTCGCTTCATAAGACCTCAATACATCATCAAGAGCCACGAATATTAATTTTGTGTTCCCTGCATATGCTTTTTTGACTCTCATAGAGACGGCAGCCATTGACTTTCATTTTATGAATCACCAAGTACTAGGGATGCACCGATACCGATACTGGTATCGGGCCCGATACTGGTCTCCTGTACTCGTACTCGTACTCGTTAAAATACCCCGATACCAAATGCCGATACCACACAGCATGTGTTATGCACCATATTCAAACAAAGAAACACCAACAACAGAACAACAGACAGCAGAATGGAGTTAAGGATGTCTACTACGAAGTATATGTATGCAATTAATATAATGTTAAACATTCCGTATTAACGCCTGTATAGCTGATGTGCGCGAACTGATAAACAAAGCACGCTGAGTGGATTGAGCGCGCGGCGGCGCAGATGCGCGAGCTTGTCCTCACAGACATCACTGGAAAGTTTATAGTTTGGTCGGACACGTCAAAAACAAGTAAGTATCTATTTGATAAATGAAGTTAACCAACTAACATTATACATACCCTTTTGGTTTCTGTACCCAATATTTAAAAAAATTCACAAATGCAATAAAAATATCGGTACTCGGTATCGGCAAGTACCAAAAATAAAAGTATCGTATCGGGCAAGTACTGGAAAAAGTGGTATCGGTGCATCCCTACCAAGTACCATGGTTTCAGCTAAAAATCTTCTTTACTGTTTTACTCAAGGAGTCACTTATATCTTAAACGGCCTGGGGGAGTGTTTTCATTTTTCCGTGAACTATCCCTTTAAGTATCAACTTTGTCTCAGACGCTTCTCCTGAATTTCCTCCTGTGGTGCTTCTTTCCTACAGATCTCACACCTCAAGCTCTGTTTAGAAACCAAGCAGAACATGTTCTAATGAACAAAGGGAGTAAAAGAGTTAAACGAGTGAATTAGTCTCATACTTGTTTGGTTTGACATCTGATGGGAGGGGAATTCACAGCTATCAATGGCGTGATTGTGCGGCGATGCTGCTGTGAAATTCGATAAGCGAGATGGGCCTCGTGCGACAGCTTAATTTCGGACAACTTCTGCTTACAGTGGGATTGCTAGAAAAAATAACCGTACTGTGGAAGTATTGTCAAAACATGTTTGAAAAATGAAGTTGACAATCCCCCCATGTGAAGCGCATTGCTCATACTAATCAAAGCACAGTCAGATCCATAAATCTCCTGGCGTGGATGTGTGTGATCTACAGCTGGAGGAGTTTGTGAGTTAAGGATGTCTACTACGAAGTATATGTATGCAATTAATATAATGTTAAACATTCCGTATTAACGCCTGTATAGCTGATGTGCGCGAACTGATAAACAAAGCACGCTGAGTGGATTGAGCGCGCGGCGGCGCAGATGCGCGAGCTTGTCCTCACAGACATCACTGGAAAGTTTATAGTTTGGTCGGACACGTCAAAAACAAGTAAGTATCTATTTGATAAATGAAGTTAACCAACTAACATTATACATACCCTTTTGGTTTCTGTACCCAATATTTAAAAAAATTCACAAATGCAATAAAAATATCGGTACTCGGTATCGGCAAGTACCAAAAATAAAAGTATCGTATCGGGCAAGTACTGGAAAAAGTGGTATCGGTGCATCCCTACCAAGTACCATGGTTTCAGCTAAAAATCTTCTTTACTGTTTTACTCAAGGAGTCACTTATATCTTAAACGGCCTGGGGGAGTGTTTTCATTTTTCCGTGAACTATCCCTTTAAGTATCAACTTTGTCTCAGACGCTTCTCCTGAATTTCCTCCTGTGGTGCTTCTTTCCTACAGATCTCACACCTCAAGCTCTGTTTAGAAACCAAGCAGAACATGTTCTAATGAACAAAGGGAGTAAAAGAGTTAAACGAGTGAATTAGTCTCATACTTGTTTGGTTTGACATCTGATGGGAGGGGAATTCACAGCTATCAATGGCGTGATTGTGCGGCGATGCTGCTGTGAAATTCGATAAGCGAGATGGGCCTCGTGCGACAGCTTAATTTCTGACAACTTCTGCTTACAGTGGGATTGCTAGAAAAAATAACCGTACTGTGGAAGTATTGTCAAAACATGTTTGAAAAATGAAGTTGACAATCTCCCCCATGTGAAGCGCATTGCTCATACTAATCAAAGCACAGTCAGATCCATAAATCTCCTGGCGTGGATGTGTGTGATCTACAGCTGGAGGAGTTTGTGTGTCCATTAAATCACTGCAGTACCATGCAAATGCCATGATTTTTGGACATTACATGGTATGGTCTCATCAATACGACAGTATGTAGATGGTCCAATCGAATCACTTGGTTTATATCCATCAATTTCAAATAAGATGTTATTAATAAATATTATTTTTGCAATATAATATAACATAAAATAACATAATATAATACAATATAATATATCATCCACATCTATTTACCATATAAACACCATGGTATACGCAAAACCAAAAAAAAAGTATACTCGGTAGTCAATTCACCCGATTATGCAAAAATAGACAAATATTTCTGCAATATAATATATCACGCACCCCTACATGCTGTACTGTACAGAACCATATAAATACGATGGAATATATTATAATCATAAAGTATTTAATTCACCACATTCTGATGAAGCATATATTTTTTCAACAAAAATATAAAAAATATTGTAATATAATTAAAAACATGATAATATAATCATTTAAATAGTTCTTATTATATTACTTTAATAAATATTTATCCAACAAAAATATATTAAATCATTGAAATTGTGATAAAAAATATTTTTAAAACATTAAAATAATATAATATATAATGCAATACAGTATAATATATTTTATATAGATTTGTCAAAACACCCATCCCTACTTTACAAATCCATACTTGAGGCAACAAATGATATTATAAATATATAATATAATATAATATAATACCAACCAACCCCTACCTTCCGTAGAGTACTATATAAATAACATGATTTATTAAAAAAAGTTTAAAGTATATCATAGTATAATTATTCATTTAAAAGATTTAACTCACCAGATTCTCCAAAAATAGGGATAAATATGTCTGTAACAATCATATGTTCATATTAATGCTTTATAACTAATATAATGAAAATATTATAATATAATTAATAAAAAAATATTTGGGTCAAATCACCCATCCCTACTTACTGTACAGTACATGAACACCAATATTTAAAAACAAAAAATGCTATAATCATAGTATAGTACAAGCACACAGTATTTGGGGCATATGGCAAAACAGGATAATATTCATCACGTATGTTCTGTGAAAATATCACAGAATTACCCTCTGATGCCATCATTACTCCATGTTAGATTGCCAGTGAATAAAAACAAATAACCCGTTATGTACCGACATAACGTAAAAGTGTGCCAATGTATCAAAACTAGAGCATAAAACACGTTGGAGATGATTTATCCGAGTTAATGTGACATTTGACTCTGAAACTCTCCGAGTATTAAAGTACCAAAGCCGTGACTCACTTTGTGACTCATACAAACCAGACGCTCAAATATACGATGTTGTGGTACACAAGTATATGATACAAACAGAAAAATATGGTGCAATGCTGACTCACACAGAAGGGCAAACAAAGAGCGCTGTGCCCAGACATGCTGTAGCTTTAGTGTCACCTTCCCAAAGCCTCCAGCTCCTTTCCATTTCTCTCCCCTAAAACAGCGGCCCACAAAGGCAACAGAAGAGCGAGGAGACAATAGTGTCTATTCTCTTTCTTTCTTTCTCTTCGCCTCACTGTGAGAGCAGACATGCCGCCTGTCACAATGCCACTTCGGTCTTGCCAATCTCCACGTCGTCGTGTGATTCGCCGCTCGTCCCGGGACGGCCTAATCCGCACTGAAAGGGTCCGAGCGCCGAGGGAGGCCCCTCATTGTTACTGCGTTTAGACCGAGTTCAAAGCGCTTGTTGTGCCACCTGGCCATCTCCGATGTCGAGAAATGTAAAGATGACTCTTATTGGCCTGACTCAGTTCATCTGAATGACCTCAGATCACAAGAAAAGGCAGCGGTGACATGAGATAGTGAGAGAGCCAGAGGAGACGTGAGTGATCGTCTCTGTCGCTGGGATGGACCTGTATTCAGACACAGTAAAGAGAGAAATATACTGTACGCAAGTATGCAAAAAATATATATTTTTTTAATATTACCA